CATAATTACAATCCTGTCTTTAGAGGTATTATTGTCTCCTTGGGGCTAAAAGTGAAAGAAAAAATTTTTTTTCCTAACTCCCCGATACTGTAGTAGTCTCTTGCTCTTCTCTTGCAAAGAAAATTTTTAAACCCTTACTTTGATTAAAGAGGTTAATATCTCATTTAGCGGCCCGGGTAAAAAGTTAGATCCGAATCATAACATTAGTGTTCAATCAATCAATCAATTTTATTTTATATAGCCCTTTCGTACTCACTAATATCTCGATGCTGTACAGAAACCAGCCTAAAACCCCAACAAGCTAGTATGCAGGTTTAGAAGCACGGTGCTAGGAAAAACTCCCCTAGAATCCAACCTAGGAAGAAACCTAGAGAGAACCAGGCTATGAGGGGTCGCCATTCCTCTCTGGCTGTGCCGGGTGGAGGTATAACATAACATCCCAGAGTTCAAACTGTTCATAAGTGACAAGCATTGTCAAATAATAATCAGGATAATCTCATTGGCTTTTCATAGCTCAGCATTAAGATTGAACCAAGGTCTGACAGGTAGTGGTTCCATAACCGCAGGCGAAACAGTTGAAACTGAAGAGCACCAGCAAGGCCAGAGGCTGGACTGGGGACAAGCAGAGTCAACCACGCCGTAGTCCCCGACTATGGTGTCCCTAGGGCCTCAGTCTCTCATTTTGTTTTGCATAGTTCCGATCATTAAGAGTTGAAAACAGCAGGTCTGGGACAGGTAGGGGTTTCGTACCGCAGCCGACAGTTGAAACGGGGAGAATAGCAAGCAAGCCAGGCGACTGGGGAACGCAAGGTGTCACAGCCCGGTAGTCCCTGACGTATGGTCCTATGCTCGGTTCTCCAAGAAGAGAAAGAGAGAACGCGAGAATTAGAGAGACCATACTTAAATAATTCCCACAGGAACACTGATAGAACAGGAGAAGTACTTCCAGTATAACCCAACTAACCCCACCCCCCCGCCCCCCCACACATAAACTACGCAGCATAATACTAGAAGAGGCTGAGACAGGAGCGTTCCCCGGAGACACTGTGGCCCCTCCGAAAAACCCCGGACAGGGCCAAACAGGAAGGATATAACCCAACCACTCTGCCAAGCACAAGCCCCCCCCGCACCCGAGAGGTATATCCTCAACCAAACAAACTTAAACAATTCCTTAGACAGAAGGCCGATTATAGCCCATCATAGGTCTCCACCACAGCACAAACCAAGGGGGGCGCCAACCCAGAACAGGAAGATCACGTATTAACTAACCACTCAAGTGACGCACCCCTCCTATGACTGCATTAAAGAGCACCAGCAAGCCAGTGACTCAGCCCTTAACAGGGTTAGAGGCAGATAACCCCAGTGTAGAGTGGGAACGGCCTGGCGAGAGACACAAGGGCTTGTTCGTTGCTCCAGAGGCCTTTTCCCGTTCACCTTCACACACCTGGGCCAGACTACACTCAATCCTAGGACTACTGAAGATATAAGTCTTCAGTAAAGACTTAAAGTTGCGGACCGAGTCTGCGTCTCTCACATGGGAGGCATAGCTGTTCCATAAAAATGGATATTATAGGAGAAACCCTGCCCCCGCTGTGTTGCTTAGAATTCTGGGACAATTAGGAAGGCCTGCTCTTGTGAACGCGTAGCGTACGTATTGGTATGTACGGCAGGGAACCAAGTCTCGGAAAGATAGTGGAGCAAGCCCATGTACGCCTTTATAGTTAACAGTAAAACCTTGAAATTCAGCCCGTGCCTAACAGAACCAGTGTAGGTAAGCTAGCAACTGATAATATGAATCAAATTTTTGGTTCAGTCAGGATTCTAGCGCCAGTTAAGCACTAACGAAGTGTATTTAGGCTTTAAGCCGGGGACCGAAAAGTAGAGCAGGCAGTATCGAACCTAGAATACAAATGCATGGATTAATGTTTCTGCATCATTTTTTGTGACCGAAAATTTCTGATTTTTGCAATGTTCCGTAGAATGGAAAAAGGCTGTCCTTGAAACAGTCTTGATATGTTCGTCAAAAGAGAGATCAGGTCAAGAAGTAACGCCGAGGTCCGCACAGTTTTATTTGAGAACACTTTACAACCACAAGATGAATAGGATCAGATTACAGAAGATCCTTTCCTGGGTTCTTGGACCTAGAACAAAGCATCTCGTTTTGTCCAGTTTAAAAGTAGAATAGTGTTCCAGCCATTCCACTTCCTTATGTCCTGTAACCCAGGCTTCTAAGCGCGGTGCAATTTTGGGGCGTCAACATGGTTTCATTGAAATGTAAGCTGTTGTGTCATCCGCATGCAGTGAAAGTTAACATATTTTTCGATATAACATCCCTCAAGAGGTAAAAATATATAGTGAAATCATGTTTTCACATTGCTTGACCAGGGGTCAACAACCACAAGTAGCTACTGGCCTCCCAACCAATCCATTCTCTGCAACAGACAACATCCACACCAACAACTCAGACTGTGAGATGACTGCTTCTGCTTCCTCACCTGTTTTTGAAGCTAATATGAATATGAGCCTTTAGAGAGAGAAAAAGATGACATTACTATTCTCAAGCTCTGTCACAGAACATATTTGAAAACACACTGTAATGCCCATCAGTTTACAGCTTTTATAACCTAAACCAAAAACGCAGCACTTCTCCATAAGGCTATGTTCACATTAGAGTGGCATATAGGTTCTCTTCCGAGCATCAAGGAAGTGAAGGAGTGAAAGGGGAGCAAACAGGGAAGAGGGGGAAAAAGGCCCCAAACAGGCACGGTCGACCTTATCTCCAAATATAAAGTCGCGCGCAACAAATAAGCGCGGGCGGACAACATAAAGGTGGAAAATGAAAATAGTATAAGTCAGAGAAGGGAAAAGCAGTTGTCGTGGGGGTAGACGTATGGGTGGTGGAGGAGGGCAAGATCAATCTGGACAGGGAAAGTGGAAGACCTAGAAACTTTAGACCTTGAGAACCTGAAAGACACGACAAAACGTGGTGGTAACATTTCCTGCAGTAGCGGGGACAGGAAACCCAGGAAACAACAAGTGCAAAGTAGGGGAATCGACACCGGGAGGCGTGGTGACGTGGTGCCCGAAAACGGGCAAACGCTGAGCCACGGCACGGCACTTAGGTAGCAGCGGTATTGCGGAAGGATAAAGAAACGAGGCCCAAGGTTGAGTGACGGGTATGAATACGGGGGTCGACACCCGGGAACCGAGAGGGGGTGAAGGGACGAGGAGACAATAGGACACTAACAAAGAACGAGCAACCAGGCTGAGTAGGTGCCTAAGGCACCCGGGAGAACAAATAAATTGCCGCTCATGGAGGGAGATGAGGCAGACTGCGGGAACACAAGAGCAACGAAACCACAAAAACATGCCAAACGCAAACAACGGACGAATGGAATACGGCAGGAGACTAAAAGTGTGGCAGAAAAGGCAGGCGGCGGGGCATCAGGGGGCCCCGAGAGGGGCGACCGCCAATAAGAAAACAGCGATACGGATGCCGGAATCCCCGAAAAAAATCAGACCGTCCCGCGTCCAGCCTAGGTCGGGTACCACACCGCCAGCCGAACGCCTGTTAAGCCTCTGGCGGAAACACAGGGACAGGGGTGTGCGTAGTTTGCCACCACGAGGGGGGGTGATGCAGAGCGCCCTGGGCCCCGAGCGCGCGAACATAATTGTCTCTTATCAACAAGGCACATAGATAGGCACACAGAATAGGGGGGAAAAGTGAGTGGAGCATGATAGGCAGGGAAGGTCAGCAAAGCAGGTAAGGTAGCGAATGGGTGGGAGGGGCACAGTTTCCCGGTGATGGAGAAGATCCATCCCCTGGCATGCTGCGCTACGATCCATGAACGGCTCAAGACTCTCTGGAGGAAGAGGATGGCAAGAGGATGAGAGGGTATTGGAGAAGAGATGGATAGGAGGATGGAGAGGAAGGGGTCAAATGTGGCTGGGATGAGGGTGGGGAAGAAGGGGCGGTCGTGGGGAGAGAGAGTGGGAGAGGGTCATGGGCGGAAGGGGGAAGGAGAGTGGGAAGGGGAGTAAGGGGGGGCAGGTGCAGGGGTACCGGAAACTTCGTTTGCTCGGGGGCTGGAGAGGGTGATGGGTCCAGGGAATTGGTCTCCTTTTCTTGGCGGCTGCTTGGGCTCTTCGCACTGGCGAATGTGCGTGGGCCGCGTTTGCGTGGTGCGCTTGCGGGGGCGTGGGCTCTTCGTCATCGTCCTCCGGGGGTGGGCCGCTGCTGCGTTCGCGCTGCGCTTGGCGCGGCGGCCTGTGGCTCTGTGGCTGGGTCGCGCCGCGGTGTGACTACGGGCCGTGTGCTCCCTGGCGTGGCCCGCGGCGGAGTGGGCCCTGGGCGTGGGGCGGCCGGCGTGGGCGCCGTTGCCGTGGCGCGGCGGCTTGGGCTCTGTTTTCTCCCCCCGGTTCTTGTTGTGAACCAGTTGTTGTGCTATTTTGTTGGCCTTGTTCCCACGGGGGACAGGGGAAGGCCCCTCGGGAGGCTAGGCAAGAGGCCCCTGCGGACATACATTACCCGTAGAAGTTGATCCCTTGTATTGTTTAGTGGCACAAGATGGTGCTAGTTTAAGCAAGTAGTGGGTAGGCAGGGTACGGTAGGAGAGGGGGCTGGAGATATGTACGGTCGGTGCGTTGGGGTTGCCGGCCAGCACCCTGTGCCCCCCCAAACTTCGCCGTGCGAAGGATAAATCCCTGTTTAACGGTATCTCTGGCCGTTTTGTCACCCGTACTCACACCTACATCCATACCTCTTTCACACACAACACAAGAGTTGATTTGGTAGCAGGGGTGGCGATTCCTCTTCCGAGGTGTGCGTAACTAATGAGGCTCATCGGATTTCATGAACCCAACCGGACCCTGATGCACTGAGCTCTCGAGTTGTTGATTGAGGGCTGGATCTTTGGTTGTGAGTTTTGGGTTACTTGTTTAGTTGTGTGTACTTCAGGAAGGGCCCTGCTGTATATTACGGAGGCTGAGTTGTATACAAGATGGCTGCCTCCAGCATCTCCAAGTTCATTGAAGCGCCCTCTGTTGATAGTTTGGTGAGGTTTCGGAAAATATATATTTTCGCTATTGCTAACCCATTATGGAATTGTTTGTCCCTGAGAAAGCCCTAAAGGCGGAGCTTTTGGTGCTAGTCAGGGAGGGTTTAGTGAGAGAGCGAATTCTCTCATTTCAAGATAAGGAGCGGGAGGTTTCAGGAGAGGATACGGGTAGACCTTCCGATGCCAAGTCGGAGGACAGGACGGAGGAAGGGGTTGCTCGTACCCCCTTTACATTGCCCCGATTTGATCCTTTATCTTCTGCTTCAGGTCGTTCAAGCGGGACCGCTAGGCTAAAGGTGAGGCTGGCCCGATTAGAAATGGAGCAAAAAGATAAAGAGAGACAGATGCGGTTTGAACTTGTAATTAGGAAAATGGAAATTGAAAAGGAAAGGGAGGTGAGAATCCAACAACTGGAGCTAGACGCTGGCTTCAGTGCGACTCCACAAACTGCTTATCATCAAGCCCACTTTGATGTAAGTAAAAATATAGTGTTAGTCCCTCCATTCCGAGAGTCGGAAGTTGATTCTTATTTCTTTGCTTTTGAGCGTGTGGCCGCTGCGCTACATTGGCCACCGGAGGTTTAGCCGCTCCTGTTACAATGTAAATTGTCTGGGAAAGCCCAGGAAGTAGTAGCTGCTCTCTCCCTGGAAGACAGTTTACAGTATGACAGTTAAAACTACCGTGTTGCGGGCTTATGAGTTGGTGCCTAAAGCTTATAGACAGCGCTTCAGGAACCACAAAAAAAAACATCTCACCATACTTTTGTTGAGTTTGCAAGGGACAAAGAGTCTCTGTTTAATCGCTGGTGTTCAGCCAGCAAAGCTAACACCTTTGCTGATATTCGGGAGTTGATGCTATTAGAGGATTTTAAAAGCAACCTCCCTGATAGAATTGTAGTTCATTTAAATGAACAGAAAGTGGTGACATTGGCCCAGGCAGCAGTGTTAGCAGATGAGTATGCTTTAACACACAAGACTGTCTTTGGTGCGCCTCGTTTTGAAGACTGAATGATTACATCATCAGTGCCTCGTTCAGGTCGCTTTTCCTCTGACAACCCTAAGCCTTTTCATGAAGTCCGTGAATGTTTTTACTGTCACCAAAAGGGTCATGTGATTGTGGACTGCCCGGTTTTTAAAAATAAACTGAAACAGTCCCTGTCACCGTCCCCAAAAATGAAAAGTATGGGTTTAGTCAAGTCTTTGGCTCGTCCGTTGGACCGAGTTATTGATTCAGCATTTGAGAAACCGGATCCTGTCTATGCTCCGTTTATATTTGCCGGTTGTGTTTCCTTAACTGGAGAACAAACTGATCAAAAGCCCATTCAAATCTTACGAGACACCGGGGCGGCGCAGTCAGTAATGGTTACTGATGCTTTACCCTGGTCTCCTGAAACGTATTGTGGCTCGCATGTCATATTAAAAGGAATGCGTAAATGGGCAGCTCATGACACCGTTAGTGACTGGAGTGAAGTGTGTCAAGTGGTTGTTCATACACCGTTCCGACAGCAGGTGCTGTCACTCGTCCATGACCAGGCTTGGTCCGGACACTTGGGGATCACGAAGACTTATAAACGAGTCCTTCAACACTTTTTTTGGCCAGGTTTGAAGTCTGACGTTGTCCAATTTTGTAAAACATGTCACGTATGTCAACTCACTGGGAAAGCGAATCAAACAGTTCCTCGTGTGCCGCTCTGCCTGATTCCTGTGGTGGGGGAACCGTTTTGAAAAAGTGATAATTGATTGTGTTGCCGAAAACCAGGTCAGGTAACCAGTTCTTACTAACAATAATGTGCAGTGCTACTCGATACCCAGAGGCTATTCCTCTCCGTACAATAACGGCTAAGACTGTCGTGAAGGTACTAGTAAAGTTCTTCTCTACGTTTGGACTCCCTAAAGTAATCCAAACTGATCAGGGATCCAATTTTATGTCAAAGATGTTCTCTAATGTGTTGAAGACGCTGTGTATTTCCCATCAGGTCTCCAGTCCGTATCATCCGGAGAGTCAAGGGGCTCTCGAACGCTGGCATCAGACGCTGAAGGCAATGCTACGCAAGTATTGCATGGATACCAGTACCGATTGGGATGAGGGAGTGCCCTTTGTCCTATTTGCTAGTAGGGAAGCATTACAAGAGTCCTTAGGGTTCAGCCCTGCTGACCTTGTGTTTGGACACACCCCACGGGGTCCGCTGAAAGTTGTCACACCCTGGCTCTGGGGACTCTATATGTTGAGCCAGGGTGTGTAGATTCTATGTGTTGTTGTTCTATGTCGGGAATCTAGTTTTGTATTTCTATGTTGGCCAGAGTGGTTCCCAATCAGAGGCAACGAGTGTCAGCTGTTGCTGGTTGTCTCTGATTGGGAACCATATTTAAACAGTCTGTTTTCCCATAGTGTTTGTGGGATCTTGTTCCTTTTGGTTTGTTCCGTGTTGGTTGTGTTAAACCTAGGACTTCACGTGTCGTTGTCGTTTGTTGTTTTGTTATTATTATCACTAAAGATAATAAAGTATGTTCGCTCATCACGCTGCGCCTTGGTCTACTCACTCTAACGATCGTGACAAAAGTGTTGAAGGAGCATATCTTATCTCCTACACCCAGTAGTGCCCCTAAAAATGTGTTGGATTATGTCAGTAAGATGCAGGAGAGACTGCACACTGCATGTGCGTTAGCCCAAAAGTCTCTCTCCTCTACTCAAAAACGCATGAAGTTGCATTATGACAAAAAGGCTGTGGGCCGTTCTTTTGCACCAGGGGGATCAAGTTTTAGTTTTGTTGCCAATCCCTGGCTCATCTCTGTCAGCACGTTTTTCTGGACCATATCTTGTGGAAAATAAACTCAGTGACACCAATTATGTAATAAAGACTCCAGATCGGAGGCGTTCTTCCCGAGTGTGTCATGTTAACATGCTGAAAGCATATTTTGTGCGTGATTCTCCCAACAGTTCCTCAGGTAAGCCGGTCCAGGCCGCCGTCTCCAGTGTGGCTGTGGTTGTGCTGAAGCCTGGCTAGGACCTAGAGGAGGATAAGTAGTACGGGTTGGAGTTGCGCCATACGTTACAGCAGTGTGAACGCTTATGTAATTCAGAGATGTTGAAAAAGTTACCCTCTCAAATGGAACATTTGGATAACGCATCTTATCCTATTGATAAACAGTTTTCTCAATGTGTTTCAGGACGTTCCAAGTCGCATGTCCATCTTGGAACATGACGTGGATGTGGGGAACGCGGCTCCCATAAGACAGCATCCGTATCGGGTTAATGCAAAGAAAAGGGAGGTAATGAAAAGTGAAGTAGCTCATTTATTACAGAATGACATGGCAAAACCCAGTAACTTCTGACATCTCGGCTTTCGTTGCGCCATTTAACTTCGTACAATACACTGTGATGCCCTTTGGAATGTGTAATGTACCTGCTACCTTTCAGCGGCTAGTTAACATTGTGTTCGCCGATGTGCCAAATTGTACAGCTTACCTTGATGATGTGGTGATTAATTCGTCTACTTGGTCTGATCATCTCGCCACCTTGAAAAGTGTGTTTCAGCGGTTGGAGAATGCTTCTTTAACCCTCAATTTGGCCAAGTGTGAGTTTGGGAAGGCTACTGTGACTTAATTAGGGAAACAAGTGGGACGAGGTCAAGTGCGCCCAGTAACTGGCAAAGTGGAAGCAATTGTTGCTTATCCTGCTCCCACGACTCGCCGCCAGTTGTGCAGATTCCTGGGGATGGTAGGGTACTATCGTACATTCTGTAAGAATTTCACGACGGTAGTAGCTCCCCTTACATCTCTGCTTAGTCCTAAGGTACCATTTATGTGGTCCCAGGACTGTAACTATGCTTTTGAGTCCGCTAAAGCGCTACTTTGTAGTGCCCCAGTGCTTGCCGCCCCCAACTTTGACAAACCTTTTAAGTTGGAGGTACACACTAGTATAGTGGGGGTGGGTGCGGTTCTCTTGCAGGAAGATGAAGATGGAGTGGATCGACCCGTCAGTTTCTTCTCCCGTAAGTTCAACTCGTGTCAGTCAAGGTACTCCACAATTGAACAGGAGACACTGGTTTATTGCTAGCCTTACAGTTCTTTGAGGTATATGTGGGCTCCAGTGCCTTGCCTGTAATTGGCTTCACGGACCATAATCCGTTGGTGTTCTTGAAGCAAATGTACAATCAGAACCGCCGCCTTATGCGGTGGGCTCTGATTGTACAAGGATATAATGTACAGATAGCCTATGTGAAGGGCTCGGCAAATGTGGTTGCCGACGCCCTATCATGGGTTTAATAACTGGGGATGCGTTGGTTTTTGTTATTGCAAACTGTATGTTTGCATTTTTTTGTGGTGGGCGTGTTCCGTTCCCCAGTTTCTGTGTTGTGGTTTGTGTATTTTCATGTATGTATTTCAGGAAATGGGTTCCTGAAATTCCCCAACAAGCAGCTGATTGGTCGATGAACATAGATGATTGGAGAGCTGACCCCGCGCCCTCGTCAGGACGCAGCTGTCTCCAATTACCAACTCCTTCTGAAGCTATATAAGCCCCAGTTGCTCAGAAGTGGGGGGAAACCAGAATGGCTGAGAGTTATAGCATGTTGGTTGTTGCTAAAACATTTGGTATGTACTGTGTAGTTGTTGCTGTGAGAACCAAATGTAATGTTTTGTGTTAGTTTGTTGCTCAGAGAGTTTCTCTAATGTCCTGAGTTAGTTTTTTTTTCTCAGGTTTTGTTGTGAACCAGTTTGTGCTATTTTGTTTCATTTGTTCCCAAGGGGGGAAGGGGAAGGCACCTAGGGTGTGCTTAGGCAAGAGGCCCGCGGGCATACATTACCCGTAGAAGTTGACTGTCTATGCACACTAGGAAAGACCTGGGCGGACCATCCCTTGTATTTTGGTTAGTGCACCAGGTGGTGCTAGTTAAGGAAGTAGTGGGTAGGCAGGTAAGGTAGGCGAGGGGGCTTTGATATTTACTTTCTTTGCTTTGGTTCTGTCCAGCCCCTTTTCCCCAAACTTACCGTGCGAAGGAATAAATTCCCTGTTAACGGTATTCTCTGTCTTTTGTCATCCTTACTCACACCTACAGTCTCATACCTCTTTCACAACACGGAGAGTTGAGTTGTAGCAGGGGGTTGCGTTCCCTCTTCCGAGAGGAGTGCGGAACATATGGTACACATAATCCCAGAGCTGGAGAGAGTACCTATATGGTAGAGCTGATCCCAGAGCTTGGAGACAGTACCTATATAGTACAGCTGATCCCAAGAGCTTTGAGACAGTACCTATATGGTACAGGTTGATCGTAGAGCTTGGAGACAGTTACCATTATGGTACAGCTGAACCCAGAGCTTGGAGACAGTAACTATATGGTAAATTTATCCCAGAGCTTGGAGACAGTACCTATATGGTAGAGCTGATCCAAGAGCTT